TCTGGAGTATGACATGTTTTGAATCCGGGAGCTACGAGAGAGGCGGCTGGACTTATGGAAAAGGGCAAGATGGTGCAGGTCCTCGATCTATATCCTTCGAGACCTGCTCTGCGCCCCCAGCCCAGCTCTCTCCCATCTTGAGTCAGGGCTATGGGTTAAGGACCCAGAAGAGTTTTCACTGTGGGTCTTCAGTGGCTGGTGGGGCTGCTCATTGCTCCAACCCACAGATGGAATCCTGTCACGCCCCTGCTCAAGACCCCTCCATGGCTCCTCACTGCCCTCCTGATGAAGTCCACGCTTTTCGCCCGGTCTTCATGGCTTTATGGGATCCTATGATACCCTCCCCTCTCTCTGCTCATCTTTCAAACTTCTCTTCCTTCTCACCTCACTCATATTCTCTTCTCCCCACTCTCCTTCATCGGAGTCACTCCTGCGCATGCTTTGGGGCTCAGCTCAGGCTTTGCCTCCTCCAGGAAGCCCTCCCTGACGCCTCTGAGTCCTATGGCCCCTGTGCCCCCTGTCTCAGCACATTTCACACTTGACTATTTGTCTGGCTTGCCCACCAGGCTGTCAGCAACTTGGGGGCTAGGGGCAGGCCTGTCCTATTCCCTCTGTACCTCGGGCCCTGGCACAGTGCCTGGCACTGAGTAGGTGCTCATTAATCATTTCTGCACGAAAGAATGATTGAGTGAGTTAACGAAGGGCTTTGGTTTCCTCCTGGCAATCTGCTCTCTTCCCTGACCCCAGCCGTGTGCGCTTACATCGCCACTTCAGAGATTCAGGAACGAAGACTTTACTACTTAGATTCACCACATATTTTTATCCTGGCTTTTCTATTCCATTGCCCGGTGCACAAAAGCACTCCACTTTTCTATACCCGTGAGCCCACCCACTCTGTTCTGATGCTGGAGACCCTCTGATTCTTCAATAGGAAGACTTCATCTTCCCGGGCACAGCCGTTTCAGAAGCACGTTTCAAAGCTTCTTGAAAGCGAGATGCTGTGGCTTTGATGTCTCTGTTAGCACCGCTGTAGGGGAGACAGGCTGGCTCACTGAGGTCGCCTGGGGCCTGAGGATGGGGAGGCAGCACCCCGGGGGGATCCTGGGAGGTGTGGAGGGCCGTGGGGCCGGTCTGCCAGGACTAGAGGTGACAAAGTGACCTCCTCTCCGTCCAGCCTCCATCCACGGCCTGCCTTGGCCAGCAGGTTCTCTCTTCTGTAGTGAACACTGGGGCTTCAGCACAGACCCTGTTTTCAGGGCCTTTGCACCCATTCCCCAGATGCTGGGAATATCTGCCAGCTACGTCCTTCCTGGAAATTGCCCTCGGCCATGGGGAACTGCCTCACCCCAGGTGTAGCCCATTCTCTTAGCTAATGATTGGCTGATGGAAGATGGGGTGCAATTTTGAAGCCCTGTCCTTCTGGCCTCAATTCAGGACAGTGCTGGGGGGCTGTCCTGGCTCCAGAGCTCCCGTTGGATCAGCCGAGGCCTCGGTTGCCGCTGCGTCACCCACTGCATTGCGGTCAGCTTCTCCTTCTGCCCAGCCCTGCCTTCCTTGCTTCCTTTCATGTGTATCTCCTGGGACCACTTGGCAATAAACCTTCTTCATGAACTTTCCATTCCAGAGTCTGTTTCCAAGAAACCTACTCTAAGATACCCTCTCATCTGTTACATAACAGGGGCCTCCTGGCCACCAGCTGGGGGAGCAATCCGGAGGGTGTGGGTGGGGGCATCCCAGAAAGAACATCTCTGATCCGGATACCTGGAGCATCGCGACTAGCGCCCCGGTGCTTGCTCCTTTCCCTGGACCTGGTTCCTGCAGGGCCCCGGGTGGTCCTCACTGATGCCTGGGGGCGGGCTGAGCCCTTCTTTCCGTCCTCCACCGTGGGGTTTGGGTCTATCTCAGTCCTGGCATTTTGCCTGAGAGAGTGTCACACTCCGGGCTTGTTAAGCGCTGGGTGAGCACGTGATGGCTTCTGGCAAAAGCTGGATTGGGGAACTCAGTGTGCATCAGGCCTAAGGGAAGTGTCCTACATCCCACTGATGAGTCCAGGATGGCCACAACTGCAAGAGAGGCCAAAGGGCCCCATGCACAAGAATGGCCATCCTGCCTCTTCCTGTTTACACGCTGCCATAGACCGATGGTTTGTGTCCTCCCAAACTCACATGTTGAAATCTAATCCCCAAGGGAATGGTAGCAGGAGGTGGGGCCTTCGGGAGGTGATCAGGTCATGAGTGCAGCCCTCATGAATGGGATCAGTGCCCTTACGAAAGAGACCCCAGGGAGCTCCCTCACCCCCTCCACCAAGTGAGCACAGAGAGAGAACCACCTATGAGCCAGGTGGTGGGTCTCATGAGACACCGCGTCTGCTGGCGCCTTGACCTTGGACTTCCTCAGCATCACAACCGTAAGAAATAAATTTCCGTTGTCTCTGAGCACCGAGTCTACAGTATTTTATTATAGCGGCCCGAACAGACTAAGACACTCACGGACGCAGGAAGCACAAGAGAGTTTCCTAAAGTCACCTGTATTTCCTACTGCTCATGTAACAAATCAGGACAAACTCAGTGGCTTAAAACAACACCAATTTACTGTTTTGCAGTTCTTGAGGCCGGGAAGCTGAAGGAAGTCTCGCTGGGCCAAAGTCAAGGTGTCAGCAGGACGTGCAGGAGGCTCTGGGGAGAATCCATCTCCTTGCCTTTTCTGGCTTTTAGAGGCTCCTGCATCCCTTGGTTTGTGGCCTCCCTTTCCATCTTCAAAGCCAGCAATGGCCAGTTGCATCTTTTTTTTTTTTTTTTGGGGGGGGGGGAGGAAGACTGGCCATGAGCTAACATCCATTGGCAATCCTCTTTTTGCTTGAGGAAGATTGTTGCTGAGCTAACATCCGTGCCATTCGTCCTCTATTTTGTATGTGGGACGCCATCTCAGCATGGCTTGATGAGCGGTATGCAGGTCTGTGCCTGGGATCTGAATGGTCAAACCCCAGGCCGTCAAAGCAGAGTGAGTGAACTTAACTACTCGGCCATGGGGCTGGCCCCAGTTGAGTCATTTTCACTTCACATCACTCCAACCCTAACTCTTCTCTCTCCTCCACGTTGTTAGGACCCTTATGATTCCATTGGTCCCACCTAGATAATGCAGGCTAATTTCCCCATTTCAAGATCAGCTGATTAGCAACCTAATTCCATGTGCAATCTTAATTCCATGTGCAATCTTAACTCCCCTTTGCCTTGTAGCATAATATCTCCCCCCGTTCTGGGGATTAGGACCTGGACATCTCTGGGCGCCATTATTCCGCCTACCACATCATCCCTGTGCTAGCTGTTCTCAGCACATCCTTTCCTGGCCGTCTTCCCTTTCTCTGTGTCACTTTCCCACTTCCCTGCTGGTGGTCCCACACCTCTCGAGTAAACGACTTGCATGAAACCTTGTCTCAGGGTCTTCTTCTGCGGGGGAACCAAACTAACACACTCAGCAAAGCTTTCAAATGAAAGACACAGCACAAAGGTAAGTAAACCGGGGCTACAAAGACCCAGGACCGAGAGCAATGGGTTGTGATTGGCCCTGGCCCCCCGTGTCGGTGCTGCTGGGCATGAGCAGCCTCCCCATCTCACAGAAGGCAGCCCCAGAGGGAGGGACCACCAATCTTCTCCACCCACGCATCTCTTTGCAGCCCCACAACGCCCTGCTCCTGCCAGGTGATGGATGTCACCGTGCTAATGAATGACTCATTCTCCTCACTTAGCAAATTTCAATTTTAAGTAATTGCTCGAATCAAAGTTATTTATTGGATCCTTAATACGCTTCAGATTTGAAGCTGGTCTTGTTGAGGCTCCCTCACTGTTAAAATTGAAACTACGTTTTCCATTTGGTGGTGACTTTCCTCAATAATGACATGGTTGCTAACAAATACAGTTTTAGTCATCGCCGAACTTGGGGCGAACATTCTGGACCTTCCCCTTAGGATCACTCCTTTTCTGTCTTCAAAGGAATTTTTCATGATCACAGCCCTTGCTCTGGCCGGGCACCCAGTGGGCGCTTAATAGCTGATGGAATGCTTTCTGTATTGCAAAACAGGCCCCTGGTTCTCTCTGTTCTCATTCTCTCCGAGGAGTGTGCTAGGCAGCCTGGGACAGGAAGCCTCTCTGGGGCTGTATCAGGAGGTTAAGCTCCCTGTCCCGGGCTGTGAGGCCCTGGACACTGGCCCCCGGAGCCCCTCCTTCTGGGAGTGAATTTGGATATTGACACTCAGTGAGCAGGAGCGCAGAGGGGGCCTCTCAGAGGCGCGGGGCTGGACTGCATCCTCTGTGAAGTGCTCTGCTAGTCAGCTGCTGTGGCACTTGCTCAAACACCGCTCTGAGTCAATCAGTCGAGAGGGGATTATTATTATTTTTTCATACCTGAGGGATATTGGAGTGTTTTGAAGAGAACAAGCCCTCATGTTTGCGACAAGCCTCACTGAGGTGGAACATCTCGTTTTATAGGTGTCTGCCTCTGAGATATTATTCACCTGGTTAAAGAAGAAACATAAACGCGGGGCACAGCCCCAGCTCTGTCACTCACAAGTGTTAGAGGGACCAGCTGAGAAGTGGAGGCCCGGGAACGCCAAGGACGCAGAGGAGAAGGGGACTCATGGTGGCCGGCTTAGAATGGGATGCTGACACGGCTTTGGGGAAGCCACTGTGGGTGCCATCGGTCCGAGGTGAATCTGGGTCATCCAGCCCGGTCTTAGGAGCTCCAGGGATGCAGTGGGGTAGAGGCGACTTCATCCCCGCCATTCTACAAGCCATGTGTTGGGAGGAAGGCCTCCCCTCCTCCAGGCGATGGCAGAGGCCATTATAATTTGCAGATTTTTGTTTTCAAAACACACCATTGAATCATCCTGAAAACAGATTTCTGTTTAATACGAGGCTGGGGAAATGGTTCTCGTTTATTAAAACATACACACACAACAAAACGCGCTTGACTTTGTATTACCAGAATCTGCCTGGAGGCAAGGGTGAGGCGAAGGAGATTTTATTTTATTTATTAAAGGAAACACGTTTCCTTCCTGTTTCTTGGCTTCAGGAACAGATACCCTGAAGAATGACAGAGTCCCAGGAGATGAGAATGCGGCTCAGAGGGGTGGGGGGAGAAAACCAGGCCCTACTCCATTCCGGATGATCTGACCCTTCATTCCCTGGGGGCCTCGGTGCGTCTCCGCTGGTCTCTGGGCTGGCTCTTTGCAGGTGCTCAGTGCCTATTCTGTGAACAGATGAATGAATGATCTCATTTGGTGCCCCAAACCCCTTCCCGGGAGGTACTAACATCCTTCTTTTATGCAACCCTAGACTTTCAAACCATCCCAGCCTCCTGGGTGTGTCTGTCTGCAAGTTTGCACCCATGCCCTATTTCTCTGGCTTTTTGGCTCCATCTGCTAAGGTAGGAGCTTCAAACCTCACCTGGGGATTCTGAGGGTCCCCCAAAATCTCACATGAGCCCTTCTCTGCCCTTTCATGGAGCCTTCATCTTCTTCCTGCTCCCACGCCCCCTTGTTGGCGTCCACGGATTGTACGGTCTTTGGGGCTCACGCAGGAATGTGGTGTCCATGCTCAGGGCTCTCTCCTGATGCTCACCTTGCTCCCCAGCTCCAGGGCCCCGGTTCCCTGAGACCTACGTGCGCCCAAGCTGTGCTGTGTAACAGGCAGAAGTCAGCAGAACGCCTCTCTCCCTCTAGATGTTAGGACCAGACACATGGGGGCTCCGTGCGGGCTCATCTGTGCTTGGAGTTCCACGTGATGGGCGTTCCTTCGTAGGAAACAAGGCGAGCTCCTAGCATGCTGCCAGGTCCCTTCCAGGGCTGGGACCTTCACCCTTCTCTCCCCAGTTTGAAACACAGAGTGCTGTTTTCAAAGATTCCAGACTCCAGCAGCAGCAGCTCCTTTGTTGAACTGTGACACAAGTTCAGTTAACATTTTGGGAAAATCGTACTAGAGACTTGACATCCTACTTGCCTCTTCAGCTTGTCTGTGCTCAATTTTTCAGTATTTTGACACTGAATTTCTCCATGCATTAAAAAAATTACCGGTTAAAGTAAAAACATATAGAAGATGATTTCTGCCATCAGGGCAATGCCTTAGATTATTTTTTCTTTTGTCTCCAAAGCCCCAGTACATAGTTGTATATCCTAGTTCTAAATCCTTCTGGTTCTTCTAGGTGGGAGGCCACCACAGCATGGCTTGATGAATGGTGTGTGCGTCCACACCCATGTCTAGAACTGGCAAAACCCAGGCCTCCAAAGGCAAGCACGTGAACTTAACCACTTGGCCACTGGGTGGCCCCTCATATTCTTCATTTAGTCTGGAAAGACGTGGAATCTTGATTTCCCATGGAACTGGTTTTATCCCACAAGTTGATGTTGAGTGTTGTAATCAAAACAGTCCTCGCGCCTGCACTGGCTCCATCTCCCTCAGGGTTCACGGGGACAATTTTAACAGCTACCTGAACCCTCACAACAAGTGTGGTGTTTTCCCCACTTTACAGAGGGGAAGACTGAGGCTCAGCGACGTTAAGGAAGGGGGCTGAATGAGCTTAATTTTGAGCTTAGGTCTGTTTGTTCTGATAGCAAGGGGTGTTTCCAGCCTCGCGATTTACGCGGCACATCCCTGGATGCTGCCTGTTCCAGTTAGCATTGCCGTGTAACAAATTACAGCCACACGTGGTAGCTAAAAACAATAAGTTAACTGTGCTCACAGATTCTGCGAGTCAGAGTTCAGATAGCACAGCGGGGACTGCTTGTCAGCTGGGAAAATTCCAAATGGGGGGGTGGCTTGACAGTGGGTCACCTGGAGGTTCATTCATTCATTAATTCATTCATTCACTCCTATGTCTGCTCTCTGGGCTAGGGTGACTGGAGGGCTGGGATTGCTGACTGGACCACCTACGTGTGGCCTCTCTGTGTAGCTTGCCTTCCTCCCAGCCGAGTGGCCTCAGAGGAGTTGAACTTCTTACATGGCAGCTCTGAGCTCCAAGATGGGTGTGGCCTTTGGTGACCCAGCCTTGGAAGTCACACAGCATCACTTCTGTCGTATTCTATTGCAGAAGTAGTTGCATGCCAACTTAGACCCAAGAGAGGGGAAGAAGACCCCAACCCCGTGGGAGGAATGTCCAGGCCGCATCGTAGAAGAGGATTTGGGACGGGACGGGGGGAATATTGTTGTGGCTGTTGGGAAACACAGCCTGCCACTCCACTAAGCTCAGTGAGAACGAGCCGACCCGCTTCCATCAATAGGCTCTGTAAATGGTTCACTTTATAAATACGTGTGCAGCCCAGTCATAGAGTCTTGTCCATGACTGAGAGGGGTGGTACACTCCACTATCAATCGTCTTTCCTGCGAGCAGGTCAGACACACACGGAGCCCAGAGGAATACAAAATGGTTCTGTCCTTCAAGTTCAACCGACATCTTCCAGTGTGGGTCTTCCGATCTCCGCTCTTGGGGCCAGCTCCACATGTGCCCACTGCTCGGTAGTCGCTTGGAAATGAACAGCCCTCTCCTTTGGATTCTCTTGCTTGTCTCTGCTGCCCTGGGGCTCCTTGGCCCTCTGACCCCGTGGGACCCTCTCTTCATGAGCCCCGTTTCTGGCACGAGTTGGAAGCATGCAGTCCCCTCTGGCTCCTCCCTGCAAAGCCGCAGGCAGCGAGTGGGGAGCAGGGACTCTGGGTCATTTGGCTCTTTGGCCGGCCAACACTGGCCTTCTCTTGCCTTATCTCCATGTGCTGTGATTCTGAAAGGGTGTGTGTGCCCTTTGCTGCCTTGATCAAATGCCTCCTTCAGTTACTGCAGCCTCGGGAGGGGCCACATCCCGCACTTTCGTTGGCTGTCATAGCCCTGGGGCAGCTCATTGCTCACTTCAGGTGAATCCGCCCTAATGAACATTATGGGGTGGCGGGGGTGGGGTGAGGAGGAGGATGCTGTCGGCTTGGGGAGGGAGACAAGACAGCTGGTAGGGAATCTGAGGCGAGCGTGACAAGTGCTGTGATGGAGAGGGCCTCAGGGGACCCCAGAGAAGGTGGGGGGCTCAGAGGAGGGGCAGCCTGAGCTGGACGGACCTATGAGGGCTTGTGAGTTGAAGGTGGTGAAATGTGGCAAAATGGATTTGTATGAGTTGCCCTCCTTCCTAGCCAGCCCTGGGGGGGTCTAGCAGTTAAGATTCGGTGCTCTCACTGCCGAGGCCCTGGGTTCCTTTCAGGTCAGGGAACCACAACACCTGTCTGTCAGTTGTCACACTGTGACAGCTGCGTGTTGCTGGGATGCTGAAAGCCGTGCTACCAGTATTTCAAATACCAGCAGGGTCACCCATGCGGACAGGTTTCAGTGGAGGTTCCAGACTAGACAGACTAGAAAGAAGGACATGGTCATCCACTTCAGAAAAAGTCGGCCACCGAAACTCTGCCAAAGGTGGTGGACCATTGTCTGATATAGCACCGGCATGTGAGGGGATGGTGCAAAAAGACAGGGCTGGGTTCTGATCTGCTGTCCGCAGCATCTCTAGGAGTCAGAGTCGACTCGATGGCTCCAACCACAACACTCTCCCTGCTAAAGAGGCCTCTCCTTGCGCATGGCATCTGCCTCCCCTGTGTGCTCTGGGGAGAGTTGGGCCTTTCCAGTGGATTCTCAGCTTTTATGATGAAGAAAGAAACAGAAAAGAAAGAAGTGGAGGGAAAGAGGGGAGGAAGGACTTACAATCTGGCACGGTCAGGGGTACCAGAGTGTTGGGGAGAGAGTTGGGAGTCCACGGTTCCACGGTCCTGAGCAGCTGCAGGGTTGCGGAGAACGGGAAGAGGGCCGACAGTGATTTGAGGAAGTGGTGATGGAGGGCCCGTCAGGACTTGGAACCGTGTGAGGGGCTTGCAGAGGGGCAGGTGGAGATCTGAATCACTTTCGCGTCCGTTTTGCCTGCAGGACTGTAGCTCTTTGCATGCAGCACAGCCCAAGGCCGGGCCGGCTCTGCAGCTCAAAGTACGCAGGGTTGGGGGGGGGGGGTGGGAGGCGGGGTGCAGGGCCCGCGTGGGGAGCTGTTGGGAGTTCAGTGCGGCTGCAGTAGGGGGTGAGTAGTGCTGTGGGGCATGCAGGAGCTGAGGCTGGGAGGACCCCAAAGATCCGGGACCTGATGAGCCATTTACGTTTGAGCTTCAGCTGGAAGGCGGTGGGGAGCCACTCAGAGGTCGAGTGGGACAGGGACATAGTCAAGGCTCCTTCTGACTGCAGCACGGATGTCGGATTAGAGCGGGTGGGACCGGACACAGGGGACCTACGAGGAGGCTGAGGCAGCATCCTGTTAGTGCTGGTGCAGCCAGATTTACCGCAGAGGGGAAGGAAAGGAGAGAACGGGTGACGGGGAGGAGTGGGATCGGAATGAACAGGACAGATGACGGATGGGAAGAGGCAGTGATGGAGAGGAAGGGGCTGAGGACGCAGCCCAGGTCTACACGGATTATTGAGGAGATTAAATGAGACAGTGAGTAACTCCCCTGGCACAGTTCCTGGCACAGAGCAGCTGCCCCAGAGCGGGTGGCAGCTACATTAGAACAATTATAACGACATTTTCACATGTGTGACTAATTGTGAAGATCTGTCCTCATCATGAGGCATGAGCTCCCTGAGGGCAGGGACGGTAGGCACCGTGTTCAATGCACTGTGCTTGACAGGAGGCAGGCGCTCAGCGTCGGTATTTCTTGAATGAACGAACAGATGAATGACTCAACCCAGGTGGGGCCATTCCCTGTGCTCCCCTCAGCTGCTTTGGCCAGAAGATGGCGCTTTTCCCAGAAAGAAACCCGTCTTGGGGAGATGGGGTTGGTCCGCTAAAAGCTTGGTCCATCTTCCCATGGGACAAATTTCTTGGCTTAGAACGTTGGCAGGAATGGCAGGAATGTAATTCCTTTGAGTATCACTTCCCTGAATAGAAATAATGCAAAGGAGTAGTTGGCCTGCTCCCGGAGGCTGTGCGTGTGCCTGTGTGTGCACCTGTGTGTGTGTCACCATACAGGGGTGTGTGTGTGTGTGTGTGGTTCTCCTCTGTTTATCCAGGTCAAAGATCACATGGGTTTGAGTATTTTGGCTCCTTAGAGCCTCACATCTTGAGGTCCTGTGGGAAGATGGGCCTCCGATGGTAGATTTCCAGGGCCTTTTGGGCAGTCAGCCCCAAGAGCCCCTCCCTAGAGCTGGCTTGATCTCCTGGCAGAACGTGGGTGGCCTCTCTC